GAGGAGTCGCCCCCTGGTGGACACTAGAGAGAATGCAGCTTTAAGACTCTTCTATATTGGCTTCACTCAGCAGAACCAGAGGTTCCCGCCTGGAATCAACACACTGCACCACCTGCTCAATGTGTTTCAATTGTCTTTGTTTAACCTTACTGTTGATATGGCACACTGACCGACAAGAAGATCACAGACTTCTGCTAGTAAATAATAACCGTTAACGTGAAGAAAGAACATCAATGACTTGTTCTACCGAAGACAAATAAAAGCAAACAGATCCTTTTAAAATCATACAACTTTATTTATGACATCCTGCAACAGAATTTGGAAGATTTCATCAACAAACAAACGTTAGAAAAGGTTCAAAAAAAAGAAGAAAAACAGCCGGAGGCCGTCAGAGACCACTCGATGTCTCCGTCTTGACGTAGTGTCCTCTTTACTGTCGTCCTCCTCCTCTCGTCACCTGTCTCCTCTCTCCTTCTATCACATTAGATTTCTCTCCGTCTCTGGTTTTACTCAACGATCGCCGCGGGGTGGTGGGGTGGGGCACTATCAGCTGTTTTCGTCATCCATGATTTCACTACCCGTGCTCTTCCGCGATTGGCCGTCGGCTACCATGGCGGCGACATCGGCTGAGGGTTCTGTAGGTAGGACATCACGACGGCCGAGATGGACAGCCTGAGGACGGGAGGAGACACGGTGTCAGGTGCGTGAATCTAAGTTTAAACGTCTGACCTTCACTCAACGACTTTCCTGTGATCCACAAATGACAAATGTTTTGCTGAAGAATAAAAGAATTGAGAATTATCCAGAGACAGAATTCCCAGGCAGTCTGAACGTGGAGACTTTGGGGCCGACACCTGTACAATTCAGCAAACGCCTGAAACTGAGGGGTCGACAAACAGCTTTGCTGCGTCGGCATTTTCTCTCCCGTTTGCATTTGTTGCGGTTCCACGAGCACCTTCGCTCATGCGACTCCTACTTATTGCCCACAAAGCAAAAACACGCCAGGTATTTTTTTTAAGGAGATATTTAGCTGACAATGTTTGGCATTTTTACTGTTGCAGTGAGCAGAGATACAAACAGGTATGAAGAACGTCTCCCGTAATTCATCCACACCTGACGACACGCCGGTCCTCCTCCGCTCCTCCCTCCGGTATAGAAGCTCACCTCTCTCTGATAACTCAGGGGTTCTTACATCACGTCTCATCCAGTGACAGATGTCCTAAAACTGGCCTCGAACCAGCTTCCTACGCACACGAGGCCGGAGCATTAAGTTCATCGTCAGACATTACCCGCTGAGCCAAACATTTTGTGTTCAGTGCATCAGGCTCGTCTTTAACACAACCTCATCTAGACGATGGACCGGCTGCAGCACTCCTTCATGAGCAAATGGAAATGTAGCAGCCAGCGGAGGTCGCTCAGTTAAAAGCTTTTGGACATTAGAGTTGGCTCGTCTCAAGTCTCAGCCAGTCTGACCTCCAGATTCACAGCTGAATAATTCAAGAGTTTCACGTAAACACGGAGGGACTCAACCCCCTAATAACTGAGACTGTTTGTCCAAAAACCTTCAAATAAATAGATTTATTAATGTAGAATACATTTCTTCCTGATAGCAACACAGCAAATATGCAAAATAAAACCACTAACGTGACGTGAACATGTCTTCAAGATGGATTCCAATGAAAGTGAATAAAGTATAATATTAAATCATATCCCGTTTACTCACATGAAGCTGCTCATCATCTGTTTGGTGTCCTCCGAGCTTCTGGAGTTGGCGAAGCTGATGAAGGAGCAGTAGACGGCGATCCAGGCGCACCACTTCAGCTGGAACACACAGAAGGTTACAGAGCTGGAGAGGGTTCAGGCCTTCTGCTAGTGAACGGTTTGCTTAGAGACCGACTGGATCAGAAAGGAGGAGCACGGCTGAGATGTACTTCGAGGGTAGATGGACGCCGAGGAGATACTTGGATAACGGCTCAGTGAATTCCCAAACAGGACAACGGCTACTCCAACGTTTAGGAGCTGCCGCAGCAATGGTGCGGTCTTATCTGCCAGCCTCGAACCATGAAAACGTTAGAAGCAATAGTTCTGAGGATCTAAGTCAGTGCAGGGATGCTAGTATACCGGTGTAGTACCAGTTAGATATACCAGCCTTTCACCACAGAGTTGATCCGTTTGTCGTATTCCCGTCAAAGAAAACACGATTCCTTTACGCGGGCATAAAGGTTCGATGCCAACAGCCCCATAAGTGGCCCTCAAGGACCAAAAACAATCACTTCTGTCCTGTTATTGAGGGTGGCTCTGATACTCCTTCGTAGGTGCCTGATATTCATACAGTATTCTTGTGTTTATATATCATGTACACATCTACAGAAACACATCCAGTGCTTTGAGTATTTTCCGTGTTCCATGCGCTGACAGAAAACCCAAAATCTGGCAGTGCCATCGCCAGTCTTTACCTAAAAGAAATAATAATAATAATAATAATAATAATAATAATAATAAATTAAGAAACGTTACACCAACAAGTCAAAAATAGTTAGCCTGATGCTGTGCCCTCTTAGTGTGTCGTATGCTGCCCTTCATCCTTTCACCTTCAATCTTCTAAATGTAACGATTGGGCTGGACCACGGTCTAACATCCAGGGTGTGTGTGTGTGGTGTGTGTGTGTGTGTGTGTGTGTGTGTGTGTGTGTGTGCGTGTGAGTCACCTTCAGCATCAGTCCACACATGCTGAAGATCATGCCGAGCAGGTTCATGTAGTCCGGCGTGGGGTCCTCAAGCGTGGGATTGGTGTCCGTGCTTGGGGCCTTGTACCTGCAACACCACGAAACATATGTGAACCACAACACACGATGGAACAAGCACTGTTACACAGCTGATCGCACTATTATATCACATTACACCCACACACGCTCATTGAACAGCATCTCAATCCAAAACACCATGGTGGGCATTACTACTACTGAGACTCTACTGTTGAAACCCACCGATTCTACTGAGACTCTACTGTTGAAAAGCACTGATTCTACTGAGACTCGTATTGTTAAAAAACACTGATTCTACTGAGACTCTACTGTTGAAAAGCACTGATTCTACCGAGACTCTATTGTTAAAAAACACTGATTCTACTGAGACTCGTATTGTTAAAAAACACTGATTCTACTGAGACTCTACTGTTGAAACCCACCGATTCCACTGAGACTCTATTGTTAAAAAACACTGATTCTACTGAGACTCTACTGTTGAAAAGCACTGATTCTACTGAGACTCTACTGTTGAAAAGCACTGATTCTACTGAGACTCTACTGTTGAAACCCACCGATTCTACTGAGACTCTACTGTTGAAACCCACCGATTCTACTGAGACTCTATTGTTAAAAAACACTGATTCTACTGAGACTCTACTGTTGAAACCCACTGATTCTACTGAGACTCTACTGTTGAAAAGCACCGATTCTACTGAGACTAATCAGCATAATCCCTTGCAGATATAATCATGACTTGTGTTAAAGGTTAGCTCGTTAGCTGTTAGCTAGCATTTAGCTGAATCCAAGCTAATGTGGTAAGCTAATTCCATCGATACAAATGTCTTATTTTCTGTTTGACGTACTCACCGTAGAATCTTAGTCTGTCTCCTCGGGTCTGACATGTTGTTAAAAGACATAATAATATCCTAGGGTGTTTTATTTAGAAATGTAAACTCCTGTGTGAGCGAAAGACAAGTGATCAGACTCTCTGCCGGAAGTGACAGTAGAGGGGGCTGTCATATCCGATGAGTTTCAAAATAAAAGCGTCACGTACCCAGTAGGCAAATATTAAACGGGAGGACTTTTTTTACTTTTATTTTGACAGGACTATTTTAATCCCAGTGTGCATTGCGCGTACTAGCAAAACATGATGGGTGAAATGAATGGAAGAAGCTAATGGTTACAAACTCGGGATAAACTTATTATATAACGTTACATATATACTTATTAGTAATATTAACTGCACCACGAATATCACCATGGCACTCTCCTGAGATTTAACTCTGGTAAAACGGTTAAATAAGTGAGCAGAACGGGGAAAAACTAACGTTAATGTGAGTAGAAAGTCATTGTTAGCTAGCTATAGTAAAACATGCTAAACATTCCACTGCTAAAGCTAATAACTTGACCAAAATGTAACGTTGTAACATAAACGTCCGTAACTCCATTAGTTTCTTTGGCAATTTGCATTACAATACTTTAAAGTGCATTAACTTTTATGTGGCAAGAAAAAAAAAACAATAACCGGAAGTTGGCAGTGTGGCTCACATGTTTGTGTTGTGTTTTTCTTTCACACACAGGTTACGTCATGTCGTTCCCTCAGCCCAAACCTCAGGCTCCTCAGCTCCCTCAGCATCTGCTCAGGACCATCGACTGTCAGCAAGGAGCTGTCAGGGCTGTACGCTTCAATGGTGAGAGAGAGACACAGAGACAGACAGAGAGACAGACAGAGAGAGACACAGAGAGATATTATGACTCTGATGAGATATAAGTAGACATAAGTGGCTCACTTAATATGAGTTGTTACTTACTTTAAACACAAGATAAACTTGAATAAGACAGGTTCAAAAGTTACAGTGCATACCTGTATATTATATTTATTTGACAGACTGTATAAGGATCAGCTGCTCAGTCTTTTACTTTAATATTTTTTTATCTTGGTCTTGTTCTGTACTCTCTTACCTGGAGACGAGTACAGGTTTATCTTATCTTATCTTTTAATAGTCTGACAGCACAAGGACAATACAGTGTGTCCTTTACTGTTATGCATATTATTTGATGTTGTCGAAGCACACAGCCTCCAGCACCTCTCCATGTGAGTCAGGAGTCATCCATGAAATCAAACTGTATTCATTCACACCTGCCTCTGTCTCATGTCTCCCTGCTCGCTCAGCTGATGGGAACTACCTGCTGTCTTGCGGCAGCGACAAATCTCTGAAGCTGTGGAGTGTGAGCCGAGGAACGCTGCTGAAGACGTACAGCGGCCACGGGTACGAGGTCCTGGACGCCGACGGGTGAGTGTCGCAGCCTCCTCCCCCGCGTGCTGTGTCGCGAAGGTCGACTCTGAGTTGTAAAACACGTGAACTAATTCATCATCGGCTGCTTCAACAGATCCTTTGACAACAGCCTGCTCTGCTCCTGCAGCTCTGATAAGAGCTTGATCCTGTGGGACGTCGCCACAGGCCAGGTCACACGCAAACTCAGAGGGCACGCTGGGGTCTGTACTTTCACTCTTACTTGGTTTTGTTGTGTCCATTTAAAATGTTTCTTTGTTTCACTTTTCTTCTATTCTGTCTCCATATTGTCACTCCAATTTTCTGCCCGCAGAAAGTCAACTGTGTCCAGTTCAACGAGGAGGCAACTGTCATCTTGTCTGGTGAGTCTTCATCATTATAAAATGCACGACACAGACTCCAGTTTACATTGTGGGTTTCCTTAGATAGCTCAATGTGTATTATGTGAAATATCCTGCCGCTTGAACATCGCGTTGTAAGTTTCTTGGTCTGTATTATTAATGTTAAATTGTAACTCATGTCATTTATTCGTGGTCCGGGTGTGTTTGTTCTGTGTGTTTTCTCCTCATCCAGGCTCCCTCGATGGGACAGTTCGGTGCTGGGACACGAGGTCCAGAAGGTTCGAGCCGATCCAGGTTCTAGATGAGGCTACGGACAGCGTCAGCAGCCTGAAGGTGTCTCAGCACGAGCTGCTTACCGGGTCAGCGCTGTTTACATAGTTTTTGCCATGATAGACACTTGAAGTGGAGTTGATCTTCAGATTATATTGATCACTAATCACTTGTTCTGACTGCAGACATTTGGATTTGTACTGGAAGCAAATTCAGACTCAATGTTTCCCCAGTTTATATTTAGAAGTAAATGATTCTTGCTTTGTACGTGGTTCTTTCAGTCTTAAATGTGACGGTTGTCTCTGGTGTTCAGGTCGGTGGACGGCAGAGTGAGGCGCTACGACCTCAGAATGGGACAGCTGCACGTTGACTTCATCAGCAGTCAGTGATCTTTTTTTCATGGTTTATTTTCACCATTCACTAAAGGTAAATAATAACCGTTACTGCAGAACCCTGTAACCTGTGTGTGTGTGTGTGTTGCAGGTCCCATCACATGTGTGTGTTTCAGTCAGGACGGTCAGTGCACGCTGACCTCCAGTCTGGATTCAACAGTCAGACTGCTGGACAAGAGCACCGGGGAGATGCTGGGAGAGTGAGTGACTGCCACACCACCGACAAAAACCTCAACGAGAGCTGAGTCAGCACCATTATGCCACAGCCACAATCAAAAGTTGACATTACAAGACTCAGATTAGCATTTATGTACGTTATTTTGTACTGTTTGTACGTGAACCCTGCCGTGTAGTGACTCGTTTGTGTGTCTCAGGTACACGGGACACAAGATGAAGGGCTACAAGCTGGACTGCTGCCTGTCCAGCAAAGACACCCACGTTCTGAGCTGCTCAGAGGACGGACACGTGTACTGCTGGGACCTGGTGGAGGTGAGTGTCTGCTGGGCACATTTATGTGAACTCTGCATTTTTAACAGAACTTAAAGGGATAGTTTGGATGTTATGAAGTGTGTTTGTATGAGGTTCTCCTCCACAGTCAGTGTTCTACTACAGTAGATGAGTTTATAGAGACAGACAGGAGAACCGGTGGCTTTGAAGAGAGCACAGATAACGACTCCCGTTCCCAGTCAGAGTTATTCTAAATATAGTGTACACTTAGTGTCTAAAATACGTCCTCAGCAGAACATTACTTTGCTCCCGGGCTGGTTGTCCTGTCTGTTTCTAACCTCTGGGTTTCATCCCAGTCGCACATGAACGCAGCATGATTGTCTTAAAATCAATAAGTCCTCCAAAGTTAGACATTTACCCACAAAATCTCAGACATATGGTCTAACTTTATGTTAGAAACAGATATAGAAAGCGTACTGAAAGCATCCGTTGTTTTTTTCTCTCCAGGGATCTTTGTCGTTGAAGCTGCCGGTGGGGAAAGGTGTCGTCCAGTCATTGTCCTTCCACCCCACGGAGACCTGCCTCCTCACAGCCATGGAGGGGCGTGTCCAGGTGTGGGGGGCGGAGCCAGAGGAGGCGGAGGAGGACGCCATGGCCACATAGAGATGGTGAAAGTAGTCAGAAGCTACATTTTACATGCTGAGGAGAATCCAGTAACATACAGACGGTAAACATTTAAAACCTTTGGGAGGAATAGGAATCATTACAAAACATGAAACATCGAAGGCTCATGTGGGCTCAATGGATGCACAGCAGCCATTCAGATGCAGCTCACCTCTTAGCCAGGCGTCTGTCTGTCTATACGGTCGCTGGCTTTGCAAAGATTTAGTTCTCTAGAGAGGGAAGCCAGTGCTGGACATACCAGCTGACACATAAAGTCCAAGAAGCTTTGCTCCACAGATGTACACATGATCTGGTTGTGAATCACAACGAAATTATGTCCGATTTTTTTGTACATGAACGCATAACATATATTTTTGTACAAAACCTTCAATAAACACGTTCTTGTATAAATGTTCGTGTTATATTAATGATTATTCCATCAACACCGTTTAGTTCTGTAGTTTTATCTTTATTAGGAACTGTACACACACACACACAATAAGTTAATCAGCATGACAAAAGAATGGCAACAAATAAATAAATAACTTATGTTACATAAATACGTTTGTTCTAAACTTAAGCTGGAGCGTTGACGAGTAAGTCTGAACCGCAAGAGAACCACGAGGTGCATCTACGCAGCTTCGTACACACAATACGGTCTGCTGTTAACCCCCGAAATAGCACGGAAGATTTCAAATAAATACATGTCAGCTTATTTACAGAACAATAGTCAAGTAGCAGTAGAATCACGTCTCTGTTCAGTGTCAGCCTTTTGAGACCGCTTCATTTAGAAAGGTCTGCAGTAGGACATTCACGCAAGGACTCATGTCTGACTCCTCCACTTTGTATTTATTACCAACGTCGGGTGAAAAAACTCCCTTGTCGAGAATGCAGACTGTAAATGAAGTAAGAAAAGCAGCCGTGTATTTCAGCTCGACTGCTGTGGGAGTCTGTTTTAAAGCTCCAGCAGTAATACGATGTAATCCTGTCGAGGCCCATTAGATCACCAGCTGAAGTCAAAGCATTTAAACCATCTTGACCCGCTTGATTCATGAGGTTTTTCAGCCAAAAGGGAAAGGAATCCTAGCTTAAATTAGTTTTTTGATATAAATAACTTCACGAGAATAGAACTCTTCATTTAAAGATGTTACAGAAGAACCTGCCAGCACACCTGCCCTCTCAGAACCACCCCGTCCTCACGAACACATCATCCACGTCTACGCTCGGCGGTCTAGCCAACACAGCTGCAGCCGGCGGCCGACAGCTTCTCCACCTTGTGCCAGCGGTGCGAGTTGTCGAGGAAGGCCATGTCCTCGTGGTGGGAGGGCCTGCAGCACGGCGCGCCGTGCCACAGCTCGCCGGGCGCCAGCTGAGGGAGCGCGCCGCTCAGCAGCAGGCTGGTGAGGGTGAGGTCGTGGTTGGAGCGCACGTGGGGACACGTCCCGCCGCAGTACTTGAAGAGCACGGTCTCGTCTGAGTCGTAGCCCAGCCCGAGGTTTCGAACCTGCAGCAGGATGGAGCGCAGGCCGCACTGGGAGTCCAGGGCGGAGCGACGCGCCCGGGCCGGGATCGGGGCGACGGGATCGGGCGACGGACCGACTCCAGGAGCTTCTGTTCGGCCGTCTCCGTTTCTCTTGTCCTCATTTGGCGACGTGTGTGGAGATGCCGTCTCTTGTTTCTGATCTGGAGAATTCAGAAGGAGTTAAATATACATCTGATGTACAAGTATGAAAAGTCTAGCTATTCACAGTATTAACTAAACACAATAACTTCTTAAGAGACAGAAAATCAAAGTCTAGACACATTATTTAACTCATTGCGTCTGAAACAGGCCAAAATTTGACTTCTAACCAAAAAGGTCATAGGTCACGACCTCCCCCTTCAGCCAGCACTCACCAATCAGCGACCTCAGCCCGCGGCCCTCTCCCCTCCGGACGCAAAGCAGAATCACCAGCAGCTTCAGCAGGGACCTCATCGCTGGAGTCTGCTCTTCGTCTTCGTTCGGCACGTGTGTGTTTGAATGTTTGCCGACGTCTGCGGGTGCGAGTGATGCTCGAGATGCAGACGAGTCACAACCTCCAATATATATAGCCCTCTGAGATGAAGGGTGGGGGGGGCGGGAAGGGTTGAGATAGGGGGGAGACAGACAGACACTAACCCGTTACTTGCCAACAGACTATCCGCCTCACCTGGGCCTGACAGGGAGCGTAGGAGGGCGGGCGTTTGACCCAGAATTTGTCCTGTTGAGATTATCTAATTGGTGTAAATCACCGATTTTCTCTTTTTTTTTTTGTAGAGTTTCCCCCCAGATGTTTTTCCAGAGGAGGTTGGCCACTGGCAATATGGACTTGCCGGCGGTTAAAAAAAAAGCTGCTGAGGAGTGGACAATGACGTCACGTTGATGATGCTGAGAATGATGTGAGCTTAAGGAATCAGTAGATAGACGGACACGGAAGCGGAAAGGCGGGCAAGCAGACAGCCAAGAGATACGTTCACGGGACGGGACTTTATCAACAGACAAACACAGAAGTGATCCACAGAGGAAAAAGGTTAAAGAAGTCACGATGAGTCACTGTGGAATGTCTGTTGTTGCTTCTCTTATCGTAAACGTGACGTCTTTGGAATCGATTAAAGAAAAGCAACAAAAAAAACCCTCTAAAAGGTTAAACACCAAATAAGAAAAGGGAAGTGGGGTTATAATTAGAACACAACAGGGCCGGTTTCAGCAGACATTCCTCAATGGGTGACTCGTCTTGAGCTGGTCCATAAATCGAGGGATTTCATCAGCAATGTGTGGCTGACATGTAGAATATGTAGAATATGCGTTATGTAACGGTTATAGGGCCCAAGCAGGCAGTGGATGGGGTTTTGGAGTTTCCATGAAAGTGCATATTTGGACCCTGTTTCTGCGTCCAGGTGCAGGTCAAACACCTCAGAGCACCTTATGAGCAACTGATGTCACGAACAAGAAATATGAACTGGACCCGAATTAATTGGTGAGTCGCTAAACATTTGAAATAGAATCTGTCCGTTCTGACCACAGACTGTCTATGAGGAGTGGACGTAGTCATCGGGACGTGACTCACTGGTTTGTGGATATTTCGAGTTCGGTGATTTCACCGTCGCCATCTTGGATTACGGCCAGCGCCATGTTGTTTTTGCAACCAGTGAACAGGAAGTGACCATATTAGGACAGAGGAGGAGTGGTGGAGACCTGTCAATCACAGATAGAATCACTTGTGTCCGTTGTCCTTGACTCTGTAGAGTTTCTTCTGACTGACAAACAGAAAAAGACACATTACTTGTAAAATCAAAACGAGAAACGAGAATTAAAGCTACAGAATTATAGAAAAGTAGAGTTAGAAATAGTAAATCATGTAATACTTATTTAATGTAAAATACAGTGCAGGTGATTAAATATAAATCAAAACACAGAATATTATCTCTACTGCGTTTCGTTCAGGCCTGGCTCCTGGCTTCAGTTAGTTATATTTAGACATGAGTTGTGTGTCCAATGAGACTTTAAGTTTATTTATTACATTTAAACAGCCCCGTTTCTCATGTATTATAGCTCTGTTGATATGAATTACAAAGGAATCATCTCTAAATCTTGAGCAAACACTGAGCCACGAAATTTACTGCCGGGAATTTCAATAATTCTTTCGGGAATAAAGCTTTTGAGACTGCACTAAATTAGCCATTAAGAATGAAGCTCTTCCTCAGTTATATAACCTAGTCTACTCAATATGTCTGATTCTAAATTTACCCAAAATACTTATGTTTCTTCATGCTATTATTTCAGTAACTTACAATTGGAAAAACCACATTTTCGAGACTCACAAATGGGACGTTAAAAGATTATTTTTTTCCGGTTGAGAGGTTTTAACAAGCTAACAAATGTGGAGAACTGGATTATCAAGCAAAGATTCTCAATGTTCGGACTGGGACTATCCTAATTTCTGCAGATACAGAAACCTTTGTCAACCCGACAAACACACAAGGGCAAAGGGCCTGACACATTCCTTCCACCTCTCAGAGAGACGGGAGGATGAAGGCCAAGCGAGAGCTGAGAAGACAGAAGGAAAGCGGAGGAGGTGGTGGGAGAAATACAGTGGAGATAGAGCAATCCCACTGGATTACGGCCTCGAGAACCAGTCTGGAATTCGGGGGTTGTCAGAGGACAGGAATGGAAAGAACGTGGCATCAAAAAAAAAAAGACACAAAACATTTTTATACAGTGGTAAACCAGGCCAGATCTAAAACCTGTCTGCTGCTGTTCCAAAACTGGATATCCATAATTCTGACAAAATGTTTATGCCAAAATCAAGTCTTACCCCTCGAACGCAGACTGGCCAATCGCAGCGTAGCATCGGCCCCGGCTCGAGCTCGGTTCTGACAAGCGTCCGTCTCTGCTCCACAGACTCTCATCAACGCTTTCAGATCTTCTGCATTTTTAAGGCTGCTTCGGTGGATTTGGAGCTTGTCGTGTTGAAGCGTTGTGTGATAGTGATACTCGTTACCCGGAGAGGTTAGAAGGAGACAAATGTTTCTAAAACGTTACGTTTCTACCCCAAAAAAGCTGTGGAGCTAACGTAGCAGATCACGTTAGCACTGTAAACACATGCTGCTTTTGCTTTGTGATGATTGTAACAGTGATTAAAGAGGAACAGTGTTGTTCCTTAGTTTCATTGTCTCATGTCTGGTTCACTTTGACACGTTTTCTCTGCTGAATCACTTTCACATCCTGAATATATCCTTCTAACACGTACCGTACACCCTTCTGTCTGCTTCTCGCTCAGATTCCGTTTTCATTTTTCCCAAAACATTGTCTAATATTTAAGATAAGATAATCCTTAATTAGTCCCGCAGTGGACATTTACAGGATTACAGCAGCATATTAGGTAATCCAGGCTCTCGGGCTGACTATGCCGTGCTGGTCAATGAGTCCACCAATTTGATCCAGATTGGAATATATCAGCAACTACGTAATGGATTGCATGCACATTTTGTTCACTTATTCATGGTCACCAGAGGATGTACCGTCATGACTTTGATGCTCTCCTGACTTCTCCTCATGAGCCAGCAGGTTAAAGTTTTTTACTTATCCTGTGAAATATCTAAACATCTACTGAAGGAGTTGGTACAAAACTTGAAGATATTTATGGTTTCCAGTTGATGTATCTTTGGTGATTCCCTGACTCTTCCTCTTTCCTCCACCATCAGGTCAAAATATGTTCAATACTTTGGTTTATGAACAAAATACCTGCATTAGCTTATAAATCCCACAGAAAGTGAGATAGACATGTCTTGTAGGTGCTGTGCAGGTACTGTGAAAGAATGAGAACGCTCAATCCACAGAGGAACGCTCACAGATGTATTTAGGGAGTTCTGTTAGGTTGTGATGTCACTATACCGTGTTGTGATGTCACTGTACTGTCACCAGTAGAAGTGGCGCTAAACCTTGTGAAGCTGACCACAGACTGCATATAAGAAGTGGACGTAGTCATCGTGACGTCACCCATTGGTTTGTGGACTGCTGTTTTGAAGCCTCGAGGTCGGTGTATACACCTTTGAGGCAGCAACCTGTCAATCACAGTACACCCCACCCCTAAAGCACACTGCTTTATGGTCTGTTTGAATCTAAATGGACCATAATTTACTAAATGAAGAGACTAAAAGAGGCTCAAAGAGACAGGCACTGAAACGGAGCATTTTAGACATGTAAACATGTTCTCGGAGAAACTCAAAAAAACAAGTATGAACGTGAAAATGAGCGTGATACGTTTAATGCAAATGATCAAATGTTAGCACGTTAACACGCTGAACTAAGATGGTGAAGATGTTGATGTTGAGCACCGCTCTCCCTGATGGCCACTGCAACTCTACGTGAGCAGCTTCATTTTTTGCCTTGCTCAAGGGCTCAGCATCAGTCACAGTTAAGGCAGGGCAGGGACGTTCCTGGTTCTGTTTTTTTTCCTCGACCGGCCCAGCTTTCTCAAGAGCGACTTTGCAGCTTTTCTAACCTCTGCGCTGCTTTCAGCTCCCAATCGTCTGGTCCCTTAGTCCACCTTTAAATCTTTTCCGAGGCGTCGTAGATCTTTAAGGGGAGAAACTCTCCTCCGAGCACTCTGGCGCATTCCTGCACGTTCGGCACATTTATTCTGTTGTCTCATGAAGCAGACATCTTTTTATGATGTACTGCTACCCGTATGTCTATCCCATCTATCAAAACAATTTAAATAAATCCCCTCCTTGACATTTGAAATAAAGACTAATTATGGTGGTTCCATGTTCCTCTTTGGGTTATTTAGCCGATACACAATCTATTCCTCCTGACATTAAGGGAATTGTACCTCCCACAATTTACTTGTTTCCTTTTGAATACGGAAAGATTCTTAACTTCATTGAAAGATAATTATATCCGCTAAGTCAACACTTGACTTCTGTTTAAAAAAAAAAATATATATATATATATGTGTTGCCGGTAAGGATTCTTTTCTTCATGTGGAAGAACTTAAAGATCAAGATAAGATAATCAGGTGTAATAGTAGCAACCTGTGTGTCTGTTCACAGGCTGCTGAGGCTCAGCCAGGACTCAGAGCTAATGCCAGAACTGATATGAAGAGGGGAAATAGACATCGATGACGATGGATATGAGGTTTAAAGCTAGTGTAGGTACTGTTATTAAGAAACCTCTCTTTGTTATATTAGTTGCAATTGCCGAAAGCGATCAGAAATGCTCTGACAAGAAATAAATCTGTTATCTGTGAAAGGACTGTGATGAGCTCTAAACGGACCATCATTTACTTAAGCAGGGTTACAATTATCAGAACAATACGAACATTCAGGCTACGTCATGTTCCTTAAAGGTGTACTGCAGATATAAATGTCAAATAAAAGAAGAAATTCTAATTTATAAAATCTCTGTATGAACTCTATTGCTGGTTTCTCAAGATTACCAAGTTTTAAACATTCTAAAAACCCAAATATATGAGTCAAACTAACTACAGTTAAAGTCTCAATCCACAGCGATGACTCTTTAACTGCTGACTGATTAGAACTCAGTGATTACTGCGTCTTCTGCATAATCTGAGCATTTCTACAGCATGAGGAGTCCGTGTAGAAATGTCTCCAAAGAGAGGAACTCATCACAGGACGCCGTGTTACTTCCAGATTGTTTGGATGCTAATTGGATGAGGTCTGCTGTGCATTATTCCCGGAGGAGCTGGTCAGACAGTCAGTCCATATAGGGCTCGTCTGAGCAGCAGGCAGGAATGTGGGGAGCAGCCTTCCTGTAAAGGGGAACTATTCGGAGGAGATTTAGCCTCGGAATCTCAAACTCGCACGGAGCGTCTCGTGTTTACGCCGTAAATCTGTTGGTCGGAGCTGAGACGCTCCGCCGTGTGGCGTCGGGGCCACGAGAAGCTGCAGGTTTTTCTGTTCCAGCCGATGTGTGCAAGTCCGTGACATCCGCTGCAGAACCCTGGACCACGATGACATAAAGAGAGAGACCACATGGCCATAAGTGTGTGGACAGCAGAGTAGAGCATGCATAGACCCTGACCGGTTCACCGTATGTGACTGTTGGATACACACAAACCGTGGGCTTTAGAGGGGCTGCTGTCACAGCTTCCTCTTCCACCAGATTCTGAAACACGATTTGTGGCGTCCGTTGCAGTTCATCACAAAAAGGTGTTAGTCGGGGTCGAGTCCAAACTGTCGCCACAAAGATGGACGCGCACTGTTGTCTGAAATAGCATTGTGTGCTGAAGATTTCTACTGATTGCAACTAGGAGATCCAGCTAATACCATGAAGACCAGCAGTGGGGGCGGGGGTTCGGATGCAGTCTCTTCTCCCGTTCCACTATATATATATATATATATATATATATATATATATATATATATATATCGATATATATATATATATATATATATATATATATATATATATATATATATATATTCACAAAGACAACCGTCTCAGTGCCACGCAAGACCGTTGCGATTTGTCACGATACGATATTATCGTGATTCCAAACATATTGTGATACGCTGAGTTTTGCGATTACGTTTTTTTTTTTTTTACACACTGCAAATTCTGCAGTTTGTCAACATTCGTTTTAACCGTTAAGATAAAGTTTTCACTGTTTTTCAGTCAAGCAGACCGACCGACACTTCCTGCCAATCCGGGCGTCTTTACTCACGAAAGCACCGGAAAAAAAACCATTTTGTCTATTAGTATGTTATCCTGTTTGTGCATTTATACTCTGTGGTTTGGTTTATTTATAGTGTATTAGAATATATTCATATCGTGTATTCTACAGACATATATACACACACACACACACACACACACACACACACACACACACACACACAGCTCTAGTGTTGTGTATATTTATTGTTGTCGTTGTGTAACCTGCTGCTTTAACACAATTTAGGATCAATAAAGTATATCCATCTGTCTAATAAAAGGATTCTGTTTCCGTGTATCAAGACAATATTGCAGAAACCTGCTGTATTGATTTGTTTTCCCCCACCAATAGGAATTATTGATTATTAAAAGAGTTAATACTATTCACAAAACACTTTTACAAGTATTTATTTATCGTGCAAAGTTATATTTCCTGACATTTTGCTGTACAACATGGTCTTATTAACTTCACAATATGGACAAAGTATGTATTTAAGTAAATATAAATTAAACAAATAGAAAGATTTAACGACTCCAGAAACAAAAAAGAAAACAAAAACACCCAGAAGGACGGAACAACAGGATTTGGTTCCAGAACCAAACTTTCCTGTAAGATTAATATTCATAAATCCTTAGGTTCCTGCCCAAAGTCAAAAATAAGGAACCTTTTGGATGGTAACTTAACAGTGGTGGACTACATTTATTCAGGTCTACACAGTCAGAGGTGTAGTAAGGGCCTCAGTGAGTCCATGCGTGTCCACAGCAGGACTGCACAGCAAGGACGTGTCCTGCAGGAGGGACACCAGCTCAACAGGACCGGGCGGGTCGCTCTTCTTTTGAACAGCAGACTCTTTCGAGGATCCTGGCTGCCGGCGCCTTTTGGACACCGCTCTCTTCGTTTCACCGAAACCGCTCAACCTGGAGGCGAGAGACCTCTTGCGTTGGGGCTTCCTGAGCTTCTTCTTCTCCGGGTCGTGGGCGACGCGGTGGCGCTGGAGGCTCTGCCTCATGGCGAAGGTCTTCCCGCAGCCCGCCTGGTCGCAGGCGAAGGGCCGAAGCTCCTCGTGGAAGGAGCCGACGTGGCTCTGCAGGTTAAAAAGCGTGGTGAACGACCGCCCGCAGCCGTCCCTGGGGCACTTGAGGACCACGCGCGTCTCGGAGTGGACGCGCTGATGCTGCTGCAGGAACCAGGAGTCCTTGAACACCTTGTTGCACTGGTCGCACCTCAGGACGAGCCTGTGCTGCTCCTTCCTGTGCTTCAGGTACTCTGTCCAGGTCTTTCCCGTGAAGCTGCAGCCCTCGTCTTTGCAGGGGTACCCTCGGTGCACCTTCTCGTGGCGCTTCAGCTTGCTGGGGACGGCGAACCGCATCTGGCAGTCCTCATAGGTGCACGGGTACGGGGCCAGCTGCGTGTGTTGCTCGCACACGTGGGACTTGAGCTGCTTGTTCTTCCTGAACTCGAGCCCGCAGTCCTCGAACTTGCAGGCGTACTTCTTCTGCTCCCGCGCGTGAATGCGGCCGACGTGTCTGGCCCGGTTGGTGTTGGTGGTGAAGGCCTCCTGGCAGCCGTCCTCGGTGCACCGAAAGGGCTTCACGCCGCTGTGACTGAGTTCGTGTCGCGCCACGTGGTAGGGGCTGCAGAACGACTTACCGCAGCCGTCGCTCGCGCACGTGAAGGGCTTCGCTCCGGTGTGTTTACACAAGTGGGCGTCGAGTTTCCACTGTTTGTTATAAGCCGCCGAGCAGCCGGCGAACGAGCAGATGTACCGTTTGAGCGGCTCCGGTTTAGTTTCCATCACGACCAGCAGCTGACAGCGTGTAAATATTGTTGCTCTCTGACACCGGTACTTCCGGTACAATCCTCCACAACATGACGCTACTTCCGTAACAGATTACGTATCATTTAAATATTTTAGACTAACTAATATTATTAAGAAAATATGAGCCTTTTGTTTTGTTTCTTATTTCTTATTTCTTTTTTATATTTTCTTTTTTTTTTTCTTTTCTTTTTATACTATAAATAAATACTAGACATCCTGATCCACACTCAGTACCAGCTGGTGGCGGTAACGCACCAACTGCCAATAATCCTCAAAAAAGAAGACTATTGATTAGACCCGTCGTTTTTTATTTATTTTTTATTATAAGTATAATCATTATCATTATTATTATTATTATTTTGATCCTTTAGAGCAGTGATGAAACGTTTACTCTGAAACTGCACACTCCGGTACTGGTGGTGGCGGTATGCACATATTCAAGTTGGTTGCGATCCGCCAATCAAATTAGAGGAGGAGAAGAAGAAGAAGAAGAAGAAGAAGAAGACGATGATTACGTATCCGTTACCCATCGGCCCCTGTGGTGTTTGGTTGATGGTTGTTTGTGCGGCTACAAAGAGCATTTGTAAGTCTTATTTTACGTTTATAACTTAATAATAAAAATGGCAGTGGCGCATTTACAAATGACAATACTAATAGTTGTTATTTTGCTACAAATTGTTCATAATTGCACTAAAAGAAGACGCTAAAGTCACAGAGCAAGCTAGCTATGCTGCTAATGTTAGCTTGCTTTTTAGCACCGATACTTTCCTCTGCAGCAATGGAACGTCGCACCAAACTCAATGCACAACAGTGTAATGTGTTCATACATCGTGTAAAGAAATGTAGCTAACGTTTAGCACTACAGTCAAGATGCACATCACTCCTATATTTAATCAAGCTAGCGTTTGTAGCTAACTGTTAGCTTTTCAGCTACAAACGTGTTGGAACGTTAGCTATATGTTACACTTCATGACATATTCCAAATTCACTGGTTACTAAGTGTTTGTAGGTCACTGATTGCTTACATGTAACCTAATCACCGACATGACTTCTTCTCTTGTTCTGGCGGAAGAGGGTGAATCCATTCCTGGTGTGGTAATCCAGTCGTCACTATGGTAAGTCATGATGTTTATATTTTACGTATGTGTGTCAACATGAAAGGGTTTATGTTTTGTTTAAATACTAACAAAGTATCCTGCACTTGTTTTCTTGACAGGGTGAAAGAAAAGGAACAAACAAATACTACCCTCCAGATTTTGATCCAGCCAAGGTGTGTATGCCCACACAGTGACCAGTGTGTGTGTTTTTAGTGTCACTTTTGTGTAGATGTACTGACTAACGTTCCCGTCGTTCTTTGCCTTTAGCATGGATCCCTCAATGGCTACCACAAAACTCACGCTCTGCGTGAGAGGGCCAGGAAGCTGTCCCAGGGCATCCTCATCATCAGGTTAGTGAACACAGACACAGAAAGTGTTTTAACTGATGTGGGCTCAGGATTTTAAACTATATATGATCATCATTTGCGTTTCCAAAAGACACTATCTGGACAAACGGATGACAGACACGGATTTATGCAGAGCATCTCAACCTTTTTGTAATGAGTGTTTGTCAAAATATGATGAAATAAGAAAATCTAGAATAAACTGATTAATATGAGTGTAAACATGGAGAATTGTACATTTAACTGCCATGATTTTATTTAAGTATAATAAACTTAAAATGTAAAAGGTGTTTTTCAGCGATACTCTGCTTAAGTGTGTTTTTGTCCGTTAAGGTTTGAGATGCCCTACAACATCTGGTGCGATGGCTGCAAGAATCACATCGGCATGGGTAAGTTTGAAGAAGAAGAAGACCCATTTAGTCCCGTCCAGTGGCGATTAATTTCATGACACCGGTGTTGTGCTTGTACAGGCGTCCGCTACAATGCTGAGAAGAAGAAAGTGGGGACCTACTACACCACGCCAATCTACAGGTGAACACGATGTTCTCTGCTCTCGTGAGCATCGCACTCTGCACCGAGTGTTTCGGTTTATATATAACCAACAGGAAATCCTCGTGAACCTCTTTGACAAAGTGACTCAAAGTCTTTTCATGCCTCCTCAACCAGGTTTAGGATGAAGTGCCATCTGTGTGTCAACTACATCGAGATGCAGACGGACCCGGCGACCTGCGACTATGTAATAGTCAGCGGGGCAAACAGGAAGGAGGAGCGCTGGGACATGGCTGACAACGAGCAGATCCTCACCACAGGTAAAGGATTCCTGTTTCTTATCAACCTGAAGACTCAGGTCTCTACTGAGTTACCTGTTGGTGGAATTCAACGACACAGAATATGTTCTTTTGATGGTGCTGGTTCATCTCTGATGTCTTCAACGCCTTCATGCGTTGGTTTAAGGGCTGATATCATTTCTTCATCAGCACACAGTCTGTGTGTGTGTTTTTTAAACTCTCTCCTCCGTCTCTTTGTACAGAGCGAGCAGAGAAGGAGAAACTGGAGACGGACGCCATGTTCAAACTGGACCACGGTGGGAAAGACAAGGAGAAGCTGAAGAAGGCTCTGCCTTCTCTGTCGGAGATCCAAGACTACCAGTCCTGCAAGAAGGACGACTTCCAGCTCAACAGCTCCCTCCGCAGGAAGTTCAGGGTAAGAAAGTGACCTCTTGTGTTGGTAACGTCTGGATAAATGCTACAAGATGACGCTCACCGCTCTGTCATGGGAGTATGGCTGCTAGTTTTGGTGCTGAATGTTTACATTGATATACATAGTACATGTTCAAGTTCAATGCACTTTGATTGCAAAATGAAGAGGCTACGTCCACGGAGGAGTTTGGGTTCAAGTTGATCATTTGACAGCGCAGAAACGTCCCAACCACAAAGCATTGTAAACGATATGACGTGCATGTTTTTGGACTCGTTGAAGGGTTGCCAACACCGCTGCTGACCCCTGGTGCGATGTCCGCCCCGGTTGACATTCGCGCCAGAAGCAGGGACCCCCGTCCTGTCCCCACAGGGAGAGGGGGGGGGGCCTTTGCATCATGTTTCCAAAATTTCCAAGGCCTTTCCAAGTCGAGCGTAGAGCTGGAAGAAGTCCCACAAGGGGAGTGGGGGTGAAAGCGCACTTCAGTAAAGGAAAGAGGAGCGCTGGATTTATAACACAAGACAAAAAGAGAGCATGGCTGTGAAACAGAAGGCAACATAACAACCGTTTTCATCTCACATTATCTTGTTCCTGTGACACGGAGAGAGTTCCACAGAAGACAAAGCGATGACTAGAAAGTTAATGTTAGTAAATGTCATCGTCACTTCTAACCGACGGCTCTGCTTTTCACTGGACAGACGGAGAAGAAAGTTCTGGCTGAGCAGGAGGAGAAGGACAACACGGTGAGGATGAGGACCAACCTGTCCATCCCGCTGCTGCCAGAGAAGGAGGAGGACAAGAAACTGGCCGCCCTGCTCACCTACCAGGCACCGGACTGTAGGTCTTACACACACACGCACACACACACACTTCTTACTTACATTTGTCAAGACCTTTAAAGTTAAACAGATAACTGAACACAAACTTCGATGTGGTCGTGCTGTAGGAAGGCCTCTCAGTGAAACGCTCTTCAGTGAACAGCACCAAGTAACTACAGCTTCCAAAACGATGATGAAGTTGAATGAACACATCACTGAGCTCTCCTGTTGGGCTGCATTATTTAACCGGGGGCCTAATAAACTGACAAACGTATTGATTACTTATGCTATTCGAGGTAGTTACTGTGTGCTTACTTGTGTGGATTTCAACAGGGCTGTGTTCAAATATACGCTGCAGTTTGCACTTACGATTGCAACATTTTACCTCCTCTTCTACTCCTCCTCCTAATTATTATCCTGGTCCTTATCTTTCTCCTCCAGCTTCTTCTTCTTCTTCTTCTTCTCCTCCTCCTCCTCTTTTTGGCTGAGAAGTGCGTAGCTCAAGTCCACACTCAGCTGTTTGACCGTTCTGAGTGTGTTTTAGAGGGACTCTGATGCATTAACATGTAGCCGTACTAAATCACAAGTGTAGGTACGGAGAACGTAATTTAACACATTAACGGTTGTCTTCCATGCTTGTGTCTTGTGTTGTTTCCTGTTGCTCCTCATGTGTAGTGTATCTGTGTACAGACGGATGACAATAAAGTCCCTCTTACGTATCTACTGAATGTTAGATATTCTTTACCGTACATGTGTGCAAGCAGCAAAGTTTTAACACTGTACTCGTTATTTCCCTCCACCATCAGCCTACGAGGACAAGCAACACATCAAGCGGAAAGCTATCTCCTCTCGCTCCTGGTTCACCTCCTCCTCGGCCACGCCGGGAAGTGCAGCCTGCAGCCTGCTCCACAAGCTCAGCCTGCAGGGCAAAGAAGCAGCGGTGGCCAAAGCCCTGAGCTCCTCGCCCAGCCCCCTGATCTGCAAACGCTCGGGAGGACCGGGAACCAAAAGTGAACCCTGCGCCACCATCGCTCGCGGAAAGTCGCACCCCGAAATCGGCACGTGCAACAGAGAGGAAGCGCCGAGTATAGCACCGTCACAGGAGGGGGAGGAGCCAACGGAGACCAATGACAGCGGCTTCAGAGAGACGCATGTTAAATCCTCAGAGGAAGCAGATGAAGGACTGAGGAAGGATTTTGGGAAGGAACGGGGTAAAAGTTTAGGAGCGCTCTCGTCTCTCGTGGTGGACTACAGCGATTCAGACTCAGACCCTGGACCCTGAGGCCGGACCGCGAGGCCGGACTGTGAGGCTTTTCTGTTTTCATGAATGGATGACATCATGTGTTATTTAGTGAGAGTGAAACACAAACCGGAGACGCTTGTCCAGAATCAGTGGCGGTTAACTCACCTGTCTCACAATGGAAATGTTTTAGTTTTCCTAAACAAAACGTGTGAAATAGGATTTATGTTTAAGAAAGCATTGTCATGAATGTGTTTCTACGATGACAGCTTGACTGTAAATATGTTTCAAAATCTTTAATGTGTTGAATCTGCAGACATTACAGCTTCAAGTGTTTGGTTGTTTAGATTCTTTGATCACCACGTGTGTTCAATAAAGAATAGTGTTGAACTGTTTGAGTTCAGTTTGTTTCCTGAACATTACTTTTTACTTTCAATAATGAAACACTGAGAAGTGATGACAGTATATCCAATAAACCAGAAACAGTCACCAAAACATTTAGATTTACAGTCACAGTTCTGCTTTTCTGTCATCATTGCTTTTAATCAGATTTGAGATAAGTAAATGTCGGAATAGTTTGACCTAGTTTCTCATTTTCAGATACTAATAAATTATTTTGAGAGGCTATGGCGTTATTTTAACGATACTTTATCATATTCAACTTTAACTTCCAGACACACGAGTCCATATGAAAAAATACAACAAAAACAATACGAAACGACGCCATGACGCTGGTATAATCATTGCAGTTCAAACATACAGAAGTTTGTTCCAATGTTTCCAAAATCAAGAAGAATGATTTACAAGATACTTTTTGTCCTCACAGAGCTTCCACAGTCATGCACTGTGTGTTTGTAATGATGATAAATGATCAGTAGCTAAGAGCTAATGTAGCTTTGTCTCTTCTTATGTATTGTTTTATTTTGTAGGGACAGTGGACATGAATACATCATCACTGCAAATACTCCAGTCAGCCAAGTGGCTGATGTTCATCTGTAGTCTCTGGACAGATGTTATAAAGTCACCTTTAAAAAAAAAAAAAAAAAAGAATATAAGATAAAAGTTATTTATAAGCATGCAGAACCAATAATGCAATAATAGAGAATATTAATATGGGTATAAACTGGTACTGTTCAGGGTCCAAAATGATTTTTCTCTGCAATACACTAGAATCCTCTTGTGTTAACAGATACTGAGGTTTTTAAATGACAGCTGTCGCTGTGTGGGACACGGTAGAGAAGTTCAGATAACAGTGTCTCTGTGTGCAGCTTGTACGGGAGGATTATTCTGAACTTTTAATGCTGAACTTTGGTCTCCATCAGGGACCCTTCACACAGTTTGTTTTTGTGTCATTCGTATTGATCGGAAGCCGAAGCCCCTCCTTCTGTTGAGTGTCCAGCATCTGATGAGGTAGTGTGGGGGGGGTTATAGCAGTTGACCGTCTCTCCCGTGTTCACAGACCGCTGAGGATCCCAGACGGTCGACATGGGCCGGTGGACGCTACACAACGTTTTGTTTCTCCTGCTTCTCTGCAGCTCCGATGGACAGTCTGATGGCCATAGAAGAAGGTTCGCCTCTGTCCTCCTGAGACAGTTTGTACCTTTAAAGTTCTGTTTACTCACAACTAATGACGCTGTCCTATTCACAGGGGCTTCTGGAGTAAAAGGTATGTGTGTGTGTGTGTGTAGGTGTCTGTCTGTGTGTGTGTGTGTGTGTGTGTGTGTGTGCAGAGATCACGTTCACAGTTGCAAAGTTGGACCTCCACAGAAAACACATCATATATATATATATATATATATATATATATATATATATATATATATATATAGTCTAGTGGACATTTACTCTGTAATCTTATATGATTTATTAGATCTTTTGAGTTTGCAGGTCTCTGTCACGTCTTAAATTCATGCTTGTTCTGTTTGTTTGCAGCCGACCAAGTCGGATGTTGACAGTTCGTTCTACACCGAGGTACCGTTGATATTCATACAACAGTTTGTTTTACAAGTTTTACAAGTGAACATTGTTCTCTTTCACTCGAGGGATCAACAGTTTTATATTCTCTTCTCACACCTCACCGTTTCTCTTTCTTGCCTTTCAAAAGCTTTACATCCTGCTCCTCTATCATCAATAATCATAAAGTCAACAGTAAAGAAATGTAACTGGCTAATGTACGTACTCGCTGCCAAAGTTTGCCTGAGAAAATGTAAACAGTAAACTCTCGTGAGATAACTGAGGTTCGACACTGACCTCGAGCATTAATTACACATATAACATATAAACTGCCAGGAATATTATTCTGTTGTTTTTTACTTGTTTGAATGGTAGCGACCAGCACAGAGATCTCTTTAAACCATAGACTGTACAGAAGGAGGGGACGTAGTCATCGTGACGTCACTCATTGGTTTGTGGACTGATGTTATGAAGACTCGCCATCTTAAATTTGCAACAGTCGCCATCTTGTATTTTTGGCAACCAATGACCATATTTGTAATGCAGAGGAGTGACGTAGAGATGCCATATACGTCTCTGGTAGAGACCTGTCAATCACAGTAAGCCCCGCCCCTAAAGCATCCCCTGCTTTATGGTCTGTGTGACTCTAAATGGACCATAATGTACTAAATGAACATCATGCTGTATTGAAGAAGACTTGAAACTAGAGATTGAGACCATAAACTCATGTTTACAATGTTTACTGAGGTAATAAATCAAGAGAGAAGTAGAGTCATTTTCTCATAGACTTCTATACAACCAGAGGAGTCGCCCCCTGGTGGACACTAGAGAGAATGCAGCTTTAAGACATGAAGCATTGGCTTCACTCTGCAGAACTGGAGGTTGCCGCCTGGTTTAAATCGAAGAAAATATGAATTAATTATTGGGAAGCTTATTCTCTATACAAACTGAGATTTTTGCATGTGCAGCTAACCTGCTGTGCTCTGACTACAAGTGGAAGTACTATTTGTCTAGTACTAGTTGTCGTGTCAGTAGTACTTGAAGTTGTAGCCGTACCAACCTGGTTACTTCCTGCCTCATGTTGTGGCGTTTTTCCTGCAGGTTCACTCTGCTGGCTCCAGACCTGCTGAGGACAGACAGCCAGGAGAACATCTACCTACAGGCAGACGGTCTGTCCAGCCCCGTCACCGTCTCCATCTCCATCTCGGACTTCAGTAAGACCACCATGCTCCTCCAGGACTCCGTCACACTCAATCCGGAAAATGGATTCCGCGCTCTCAAGGAGATACAGGTGAGTCATCGGGGTCAAACGTTTTGGGTGCGAGAGAGAAGCATGAATACAAGGAACATTGTAAAATGTCAGAGATTATGAGGTTCAGGGCAGAAGTTTTTTATATATATGGATGTTTATGTATGTATGTAAGTATATATGTATATATACACACATACTGTACATGTATGTATATCTTATATGGTCTTCTTAACCTATTGTTTTAGAAACTGTTTTAAAACTCTTTATGTACATACAGTATATATACATACCTCTCTATACACACATATATGTATATAAATATATATTAAAGAGAGATATGTGTATGTATATATAAATATATATGTATATATAGAGAGAGTGAGATATATACAGTATGTCTATATACATGTATGTGTATATCTATAGAGATATGTATATATATATATATATATATATATACAGTACATGTGTGTATATACATGTATGTGTATATATAGAGATAGTGATATAAAGTGATAGTGAAAACACATCAGGTTATACATTTGAATGTAGTGTCTCCTTCCTGCTCCGCTTCATGATGCTTTCCTTAATTCTAAACATCCTCTCATGTCTCAATCTCATTGGATCACAGCTGCCCTCAGATCGCTTGAATCGCGAAGAGAAAACGAACAAGTTTGTGTATCTGAAGGTAGACTTCGAGAACTACCACTCAGAGGAGAGGGTACTGATGGTGTCCTTTCACTCCGGGTACATCTTCATCCAGACGGACAAACCCATCTATAACCCCGGAGACACCGGTGAGAACCGAAGATGCTGACGAAGAAAGAAAACAAACTTAAATCACGAAATAACCCCACGGATGAGAGAGAGGACTTGAAACTGCTGATCAAGTCTGGTTTGATTTAAATAAAATGAATTTCAATGCAAACAGTGCAAGACGTCAAGATGGTATTAGCAGTGATGATAGTACCAATGATGTAGATGTAGTGGTCACAGAAACAGTACTAGTAGAAGTACTATTGATAATGACACACACCTGAGTAATGTTGTACAAATGTAAAAATCATTTCTTCAGTCTGTCTTTTGTCCATTTTCCCTCTCCAGTTCGATTCAGAGTCTTCGCGTCTTCTCTGTCCTTCAAGGCGTTCGACAACTCCGTCACAATAGATATTCAGGTAAACAAACAACATGGTCAGTAGATTAATTGATTAGCCAATTATTCTTTTGTTCCAGAGGATTGTAAAATGTGTATCTTTGGGTTTTGGGCTGTTGGTCTATGAAAAGAAGACCTTTTAAAAAATAACCTTGGGGTTAAAGAAATTAGAGTCTTGCAAAATGTATGAGTAAGACACTTTGTAGACATACGTTTTGATCATATTCATGGGTTATTCTTTGGTTATTTTAGCTCAAACGAGCCTGTTTGTGTGTCTCAGAATCCAGACGGCATGGTGGTCAAACAGAACTCCAGGATCAGACCTGCTGATGGCACCTATGCCGACATGTTTCCTCTCTCTGAATATGTCAAGTAAGATCAACATCTGTCAACACCTTCCACTGCCGACAGATAGAGATGTGTCTGTTTAAATGTTTCATGGGCCTTTCATCTCTGATGTGCCAGTGAAGGAAAATGGACGGTGACTGCAAAGTTTGACCACTGGCAGCAGAACTCGTTCACCTCTGAGTTCGAGGTGAAGAAATACGGTAGGTCGAGTTAAACCGCGCGTCCTTCAGCTGATAACATCAGTAGAGTTTTTTCTGTTCGTCTTCTAGGCATCACACTTTTGTTCAACTCTGAATGTGACATTTTGGTCAGGAGTGTAATATTTAGTAAAAGTTATGCTTTATGTTTCAGTGCTTCCTGCCTTCAATGTTACTTTGACGCCCAAGAAGTCCTTCCTCAACCTGGATGACAGCGAACTGGAGGTAGAGGTCTCGGCCAGGTCGGTCAAATCCTCACACACACGAACACGTGCTCGTCATAACACTTCATGTACATAATTCACTATAATATAATATGTAACTTTTGAGCATTAAAATGTCTAATGACTTGTGTCCTTGCATTATCCCAAATGTTTCCAACCATTTTAAAACCTGAGAAATCTAAATTTAGTCAAGGTAATGGTACGTTTCATTCGGCGATGTCCTCTTTGTAGACTGTATATAAGAAGTGGACATAGTCGTCGTGTTGGTTTGTGGTCTGCCGTTTTGGCCGTCGCCATCTTGGCTTTTTGGCAACCAATGAATGGGAGTGACCACATTTGTAATGCGGAGGAGTGACGTAGAGACGCAGTGTACGGCTCTGGTAGAGACCTGTCAATCACAGTAAGCCCCGCCCTAAAGCATCCCCTGCTTTATGGTCTGTGTGACTCTAAATGGACCATAATGTACTAAATGAACATCATGCTGTATTGAAGAAGACTTGAAACTAGAGATTGAGACCATAAACTCATGTTTACAATGTTTACTGAGGTAATAAATCAAGAGAGAAGTAGAGTCATTTTCTCATAGACTTCTATACAACCAGAGGAGTCGCCCCCTGGTGGTCACTAGAGAGAATGCAGCTTTAAGACACTTCCGCTTTGGCTTCACTCGGCAGAACCGGAGGTTGCCGCCTGGTCAGCGTTGTGGTTGTCTGCCTGAAGATGTCATAAATTGACTTTTCATCCAGTTTCAAGCCACATTTCTACGATACACTTTTTTGGTCCTGGACATTTCCATTTATACATCATAGAAACAAGCTGAACAAGCATTAGGCAGTGAAGACAACAACTCCCATGATCCCTCGCAACCTCACCAAACTATCTTCTGCCATTGTTTTGACCAAGAGAACCCTAGCGGTAGAAAATTACATATTGTGCATTTAAAGTACACTACTCCAGATTTATCTTCAGCTGTTGACCATACCTCTGACCAATGCTGCTCTTAGTTTAACCTAAACCTCATCCTACCATCAACTCTAAAACCATGTCCTTACACTGAAGTAGCCTCTGCAGAAGGACATTTGATCCTCATACCATAACCACAGGGACGGACAGGATTTTCCTCCAGACTTTGAAAGTATTTATATGAAAACAATGAATGCAACCGGCTGACTGTTGACTTACCATTGTTGGGATTGTGTCTCAGGTACCTGTACGGGGAGCCGGTTCAGGGGACGGCCTACGTGGTGTTTGGGGTGAAGATCAACCAGGAGATGAGGAGGTTGCCTTCAGTGAAGCAGGTGTCAAATGTGAGTCACTCATCGCTGTCGTGAACTCTTCCCGCCACATTTGTGAGCTACACACATATCATCATTGACCCTTTGTTCAGCCCCCCCGCCCTCCACTTGCTACTCCGTCAAGCTGTCAGAGCTACGTCACCATGGAGCCCACACTGTCACTAACCTCACTCTCTGAAGACATGTTTCTTTTGGAGGAAAAAAGAAGTGATTTCAGATAGAAGCAGACAGAATGATATACAATATGTGTTTGCAGTCCCTGGTCAGAGCTGGCTGATGCTACGCTGTGATTGGCCAGTCTGCGTTTGAGGGGCGAGACATAGCTACTACAAAGCTTTGGTTCCGTTTACCGTCGGCTTTATTTGCATTTATATTCATGTTTGGTGCTAAGCAAATGTTATTGTGGTGTTTTTTTAGTTTCTTAGCGAGTGCAACAAGGAGACATTTGTTTTAATAATTTAAAAAAGAACATTTGTGAAAGTCCAATCTTGACCTTGAAAATAGCAGGTCAACTTACTAGCTTTATTTCCAGAGCTTTCAACCACTTCTCACAGTCTTCTTTAGTGGAGGAAGTTTGCTCAGTTTAGGTGAATCAGTATTAGTTGCTTATCGAGACTGCCGGGTCGCTGTTGAAAGCTTGTAATTGGACCTTAACTAAGATTTTTATTGTGATAATTATAAATATTGGTTAATAATCATTTAGATTGGTTATAACAGTGAAACAAAGCCTTTATAACCGTCAGATGTTTTCTGTGCTCTTGTTCTCCTGCAGCTGGAGGGAGGAGTCGTCAGTCTGAGCATGGAGGAGCTCAAGACAGCTTACCCCGACTTCAGGTCTCTGGTGGGAAAGTCTGTGTATGTGAAGGCCTCCGTGCTCACCAAGTCAGGTAAGAACAGGCAAAAATAACAGAAAGTCAACCGCTAGACTCATTATTTTTATCAATAAAGTCAATTCCTAAACATAAATAGTCATTCGGAAAATGTGTATTTTCTAACCCCAACCCGCTTCTTTTATTATGGGCTAAAATCACTATTATTTCCTTTTGTCTGTGGTGTGATGGGAACAAAATATTTTGTCAATTCTTTTTTTCTCGAATATTTGTGCCTTAATCTCAGAGAATATCCAGGTGTTTTTCTTGTAAATGTACAGCTTTAATAGTGTTTTTCTCTGAATATTACCCCTCTCCCCCGGATATGTTTATTTATTTATTTTTTCGTACCTTTGAGTCAAGATTCCAGAATGTCTTCAGGTTTGTGGTTTCTGTTGGTACAGTTTGTTTTTCTCCTGTACAGGCAGCGACCTGGTTGAAGCAGAGAAGACTGGCATTAAAATTGTGGAGTCTCCGTACGTCGTCTCCTTCAAAGACATACCGAAGTACTTCAAACCGGGCCTGCCCTTCGACTTCACAGTAAGGACCGTCTGCTGTGTTCATGATCCAATCAACTAAAACTGTTTTTGTTTTGTCCAGGGAAATGATTTTGTCCAGTGTATAAAATCACAGAGAAAATAATATTCCCCCCCCAAACCCGTCCAGATCCAGGTGAGCCGCCATGACGGCTCCCTGGCCCGAAACGTTCTGGTCGACTTGAAGCTGCTGAACTCGCCCGTGGTCGTCTCCTCCGGCACCGGCAGAATCACCATCAACATGCCCGCTGATAGACGCCCACAAACCATCACGGTCAGTGTGACGGCAACACATTTCACTCACAGAGCCTCTGAGCATTTAAAAGAGTCTAATGTTGTGAGAAGTTAACCTTTAAAATATTAATCATCAAGTTTTACACAACTGCTCTGATTGCTATATTGCAAACACTTATGATATATATATATATATATA